TATTGTAGTTTATGGCCGTAGTACACAAGAGCATGACTTTACACAAAACCCTAAGGAGCAGAGGGCTAACTCTAAACCGAGAAAAATGCATGTTTACATGCAGTGAAATAGAATTCATGGGACATCTGTTGTCACAAAAGGGGATTGGCCCAACAGAGGCCAGGGTAAGGGCAATAAGAGAAGCCAGAGAACCAAAAGATAGCAGAGAAGTGAGAAGTTTTCTAGGGTTGGTAAACTTTAGTGCTAGGTACATTCCCGATCTGGCTACCAATACTGAACCACTTAGGCGGTTGACGAAAAAGGATGTTCCATTTAAATGGGAACAGGAACAACAAGATGCATTTAATGCCCTACGAAATGTGTTGGTAGGAAGACACACTAGCATATTTTAATCATTCTGATAAGTTAAGGTTAGTAGCTGATGCAAGTCCAGTCGGGCTTGGGGCGGTGCTCCTTCTGCTCCAGGAAGGTGACTGGAGACCTATATGTTATGCTAGTAAAAGCCTTTCTGAGACAGAGAGGAGGTACTCACAAACCGAAAAGGAAGCGTTAGGCCTAGTATGGGCAGTGGAGAAATTTAATATGTACCTTTTTGGAAGGGAATTTGAGCTGGTCACAGACCATAAGCCATTGGAAGTAATTTACTCGTCAAAATCCAGACCTAGTGCAAGAATCGAACGATGGGTGTTGCGGTTGCAACCATACAATTTCATGGTAATCTATAGACCGGGAAACAAGAACATAGCTGATTCTTTGTCACGTTTAATACAGCAAAAGAATGACGAGCCATTCGACGATACGGACGAGTATGTCAACTTTGTGTCAGTCAAAGCAATTCCCAAAGCTATGACAATGGATGAGATCGGAGAAGCGTGTGCAAATGATGAGAAGATGCGTGATCTGTATGAGTGTGTTGCAACTGGGAGATGGGAAGGAAACAAGTGTCCAGAATATCGGCACGTATCACAAGAGTTGTGTGTAGTAGGAAAACTAGTAATGAAGGGGACAAGAATTGTTGTACCAAAGAGTCTGAGGTGGACTATAATGGAGATTGGCCATACACATCTAGATGTGTATAAGAGACAGGACTTCCTGGTACGTGTACCCACGGCGCGGCACATGGGGAGTGTACCTGGCCTACATTTCATATACTTTTAGTTTGTTATTGTTTACGCATTGGATTTTTTCCTGAATATATCAAGGAAGATGGCCGGATCATCTGATAGCATAAAAATATGTTTTTGATGAGGAAGAATTCTTGTGACAGGCCTAGAGAGGCCTAACATTCAACTAGGGCCTAGGCCTACCTATATGCATATACAGTAGCTGATCAAGGCCATGCTTCTCACTCACTAGGTAGTCTCGCATACTATGAAGAAAGATTGGAAACGAGAGCTTACACGATATTTAGCTGTGTATAGAACGACTCCTCATCCTTCAACAGGCAAGACACCTGCTGAATTGCTAATGGGTAGGGCCTTAAGGACCAAATTACCAGAATTAGAGAGAGTGATTGTAGACGAGGAGGTTAAAGATAGAGATCAGTTGATGAAGTGGAAATCAAGGCAGTATACGGACGTGAAACGTAACGCACGTCACAGCGATGTTAGACCAGGAGATAGTGTCCAGGAGAAGCGAAAAACAAGTTCTCGACAAAGTTTGAACCTATAGTGTATGACGTAGTTTATAGATATGGTAATCAAGTCACTATAAGTGATCGGAATGATGCAAACAGGCGTCGTCGGAAACGACATATTACACATGCGAAGAAGTTTTATGGTAGTAGACCACAAACAGATGACGTCACAGTTGAGGATACGGCACTCGATGACTTAATGGAAACTGTATATGAGGAGGGTCCAACAATCAATGAGACCCAAAATCCAGAACCGCAAAGGAGGTATCCTCTGCGTATTAGGAAGAAACCGGATAGACTCGATTTGTAAAGATGACGAGAGTAGTAGTAGTGATTAAAAATGTTGTGTTATAATAGTTTGTAAAGATGTTGTTCAAGAGTAGTCGAAGTGATTTATGATGTTGTTATGTTGGTTAAAAAAAACAATTCATACACACGGATATAGTATACAGTATATGGTAATTATGTTAACTATCATTATAACATTGTGAAGTAGATAACGAAATAAAAAAAAACCAACATTCACTTTTCAGAATAAGGTTTATTGTAATAACATAATTTGCAATATTAATGCATATTGGTTTGGTAGACTATTTACAGTTTGTTTCAAAGACTTGCAGTACATGCTTGTAAAAGGTTTAACGGTTTTCATTTAATTTTTGAGTTGTTTGTTAAGCTATTGTTGGATAGAGTAATCTGAAAAAAGGAGGGATGTAGTGTACTCAAAGTTGTATATTGCCCTCTATTATGGTAAGAGCAGAGAAAGTTCGAGTTGGTTGTGATGGTTGTTGAATATGGTGGATAATAAAGACAACCGGTTTGGATTACTTAGATGTGGTTTTGTTGTTCATTTGTCTCAGTAAGTGAATGAGAGACATAACAGTTACAGGCTATGCATTGCATATTATTTGCTTGCTCTTCTAGCTCGTCATTGATTTTTAATAAATGTGGTACGAAATATGTAGGAAATAATAATAATATGTCATTCTTATATAGTGCTTCATGCACAAAGCCTCTAAGCGCTTCACATTACTACCCCGGTCATTGAACCAAGCACACATTGAACACATACTGAACACCAAATTAAATTACTGAATTAAATTATATTATTATTTCATAATATTGCAGCTAGTATGCGGAGTTGTGTTGGTACCCACTTGGGCACAAGCGATTTGCACAGTGAGAGTTTTGAACCCCCGACCTCAAGGTTGGGAGTCCAAGCCACAACAGATGCGCCAACCGCTTCTAGAATCAATTATCAGCTCCAGTGATTATGAACAATTAAATGTTAGCTGTAGACCTACTGATGTAAAGTCACAACTGTTAGGTCCCTTACAACACCGAAATGAAAAAAAATAGACTAGAAATTCATATTATAGAGCGCTCAAAATGCTAACTTGTTGAAGCTTCCAGGAGTTCGCACCCGGCCCCGCGGGGGCCTAGGCGCTCCCCCCGCATATTGTCCACTTCGCTTGCAAAATGCACCTCCACATCAAAAATCCTGTCTACGGGCCTGAGTAGGGTGTAGATATAAGGACCATTAAAGGAAAACGTCCCAGACCAAATATTTTAAAAACTGAGCAACTGACCTGAATGAAGCTTTCTGGAAAGTTCAACCAAGTTACAAGAAAAAAATTATTAAATTTTGGTGGTGATTCAGATTCAGGTGTGAATTTGAGAGTCATTTAAAATTCCAAAATCCCAGACCTAAATATCTAAAAAAAAAAAAAACTTACCAATGGATTTAAATGAAACTTTCAAGAATATTGTGTCCTGATCCAGTGAAGAAATTACTAAACATTTGTGAAGATCCGGAGTATGGTGTGGATATGAGGACCATTGAAATGAAAACGTCCAAGACTTTATAAGTTTAACCAAGTTACAAGGAACAAATTATTCAATTTTGATGACGATCTAGAATCGGGTGGTCATATAAAGTGCTAACTCTTCAGATATCTCAAATAAGTTATCAATGGTTAGTTTGTCATGGTCCAATGAAGAAATGATTAAATGTATGTGACGATCCAAAGTAGGATGTGGATATGAGGATTATTTCAAGAAAAATTTACGGGCCAGATACATACCAAAACTAATGGACTGATCTGAATGAAACTTTTGGGGAAGTTTAAACAAGTTACAATGAAAGAAATTATTAAATTTTGGTGATGATCCAAATTTAAGTGTGAATTAAGGGAAAATTAAATGCTATGATAATAATAATTTTGTATCTATATAGCACCTCACATTGTCACAACCTCGAGGAGCTTAACAACATCAAGAGAAAAAAAATCATACTACACTCTAAAGTTTCAAAACTTACTAATGGATGTAAATGAAACTTTATAGTATGGTTTGTCATTGTCTAATAAAGAAATGATTAAATTTTAGAGACAATCTGGAGTAGGGTGTGAACGTGAGAACTATTTTAAAGATACTGTATAGCAAACCTGATCAACTGATCTGATTGAAACTTTTGGGAAAGTTTTACCACTTAAATGGAAGAAATTATTCAATTTTGGTGACAATCCAGATTAGGGTGTAAATTTGAGGGTCTAACGTCTCAGACCTAAATATATCAAATAGTTATCAATGAATCTAAATGAAACTTTCCATAATAGTTTGTCATGTTCTAATAAAGAAACTAATAAAATTTGGTGACAATCTGGAGTAAGGTGTGAATATGACCATTCATAGAGAAACATCCCAAGCCAGATATACATTTACTTAATAATTAGTACAGTATGTAGTTTTTTTGCTTTTACTTTATTTTTTACTTTAAGCTTTGTACTTTTTTGGTTGAAATTTCATCATCACTTCGCTTTATGGTAATAAAGAAAAACCCTATGTTTTGTTATAAAAACAGACATTTAGTGACAACTCGGAGTTGAGTGTGGATGTAAGGAACAATTAAAGGAATTTAAGGTCGAACGACGGGGAATACAAGGACATGATAATAAGATCAAAAAGAAACCTTTCCGAAGTAAAAATGAACGATAACAAACAATGAAGTGGAAAGAATTTTATTTAAAAGTCTAAAAACATTAAAAAGTTTAATATTTAAAAGTTTAAAATTTTCAAAAATGACAAGTTAACAAATTTTGAGATGTGAAAAAAAAGAAGTGTAAAAATTCAATTTAAATGTTTATACACATTATAAAGTTTAATATTTAAAAGTTAAAAATATGATATAATATTTGACAATTTAAACATTATTTTAAAACTTTAAAGATTTAAATAAATGATACAATTTGACCATAAAATGATAAATAGCTTAATCAAATACATTTGGATAATGTTCAAAATGTTCCTAATTATCATTATTATTACCATTATTATCATTGAATTGAATGAGACTTGTTCCTACCTTGTGCTGCGGGTCTCTGGAAGGATTCTATAATTTGTGTGATCTGCAATTAATTTTAGAATAATTATTAATTGTTAGTAACGCACATTTTTTTAGTGGGTATGATTTTCTACTTGGTTAAAATTCACGTGGGAAAACGATTTTTAATATATTGTTTATAATATAATTCTATAATAATTTCACCACAAACAAGCTTAAAAACTCCGAAAGGGTTCTACAATTTGTGTGATCTGCAATTAATTTTAGAATAATTATTAATTTTTAGTAACGCACATTTCTTTAGGGGTATGATTTTCTACTTTGTAAAATTCAAGTGGGAGAAACAATTTTAAAATATATACAAGTTTATAATATAATTCTATAAAAATTTCATCACAAACAATTAAGATTAATTTACTGTCATATTATAAAAATCATTAAATTGATTCAATATCTTGCCAATATTATTGGGACTATGCACAATTATTAATACAGGAACACTAGTAGGCTACTTACGGAAGCACCTAAGTGCCATTCGACTTGACGACTTGTCAAGATAATTTATGTTGTCAAGTCGACATAATATACATATCATGTCGACATGGCGAGATAGATTATCTTGACAAGTCGTCATAGTAAAAATTGTATGTTGTCATGGCGAGATAGATTATATTGACAAGTCGACATAATACATATTGCATGTTCATGGCGAGATAGATTATCTTGGCAAGTCGACATAATATAAGTTGTATGTTGTCATGGCAAGATAGGTTATCTTGACAAGTCGACATAATAAAAATTGTATGTTGTCATGGCGAGAGAGATTATCTTGACAAGTCGACATAGTAAACATTTTATGTTGTCATGGCGAAATAGATTATCTTGACAAGTCGACATAGTAAAAATTGTATGTTGTCATTTTGTCATTATGTCGACTTTTCAAGATAATCTATCTCGCCATGACAACATACAACTTTTACTATGTCGACTTGTCAAGATAATCTAACTCGCCATGACAACATATAATTTGTACTATGTCGACTTGTATAGTGTTTACTGTGGTCTTCATGCTCTTTACTACAAAATTAATCCTTATCAGCCGATTTAAGGGTCTATATGTAAAAGAATACAAAAAGGTATTATAATTTGTAAGTTAAAGGCCCATTCCCGTTTACTAATTTTATTTTTGAAATGTATATGCATTAGTCTAATCATTATAAACCAGGATTATCATACATTTGAGTAGTACGCTAAAGGGCAAAAAAGGATAAGAAGAGACTATTTCTCAAAGCAGATTACCATTTTCTCGACGACTTCTTTTCTAGGTAAATTCAGAGGCTGGCATGCTCTTGCTTTTTGTGTGTTTTTCATTGGTGTGTATTTTACCGGATTTTCTTTACTCTTAAAACCCGGGTTATAAATCCTGTTGGTTTGTTGAATAGTGATGGGTTCTTAAATTATTTATTGCCACTGAAGCCCATGAGATGAAGTGAGTGAATGTCGTCCCAATGGACATTCTTAAAACCAATTAAAGTTAAGTTTATGGAGCTGGTAACAGCTCCCTCTGGACCATTTGACAGCTCACTCTCAACTATCAGACAGCTCACTATGGACCATTTCTGCTAACAGGGACTTTCGCCTCATGAATAATAATTTAACCTGTTTATTTTTATCAACAATATTTGTAAGGGTGGTTCACCCTCATAATAATAATGTATTGTTATATATTTCTGTATTGTAAATGTGGTTTTGCTTTGTTTGTAATTCTGCAGCTTGTCTTTCTGTCTTTATTATACTTTTATGTTAAGGTGAGTACCAATATAGATATAGAATATTACATATTTATTTACTTACTTTATCATCATCTGCTAGATTGTTTCTTCTTGGGTAGAAATTTATCAGGTGGTCTGTCATTAGCTTTCTTATGGATGTATTTACATTTTTATGTTCCTTGTTCATTGTTGCAACCCATGTTGTTTTGGCCTGCCGACCGGTCTTTTGACTTATTAATATTATTTATTTATTTATTCATATATTTCCTTAATTATATATTTCTCTGTGAGAAGAAATTCGCATCCTATTTTGATATTGGGAGGCTATGTCTACTTTTTGAATTTAAAGTACTGTACTATAAACTCACATCCCTGCTTGTATGTTGCTGTGATTCAGGTTGATGAGTACTTGCTTGCACTACCGGTTTATAGGCTGAATACTCCTCAAGAGCCTCTTCCCATACTGAAACTTTAAAACAAAAAAGATTATTATAGACCTGCCAAGCGTCTCACATTCAGGACAAAAGTCACTCAAAAACTTGTTGTCACATGGTTCCGCCTGCATTGTAAAAGTGACGCTTTCATACTTTTGAGTTCATTCTTTATTTTCACTCATCATAATACCATAGAGAAAATAGAACAGTTCTATTTTCTCTATGATAATACATAATACATAAGAAGCGAAACGCCTGATGCAAATGAGGCCCGCAAAAAAATAAAAAGAAATACAAACTCTTAACTATTCGGTATAGTTAATCAGATTGCAGGTATTGTTTGTGAAGGAGTTTCAAGATGTTGAGGTTTGTTGAATCTTTAATTTTGTTGCAGAGACAGTTTCATAAAATGGGGCCAGAGTAGAAAATTGTGGATTTTAGTTTAGTGAAGTTTAGTACGAAGACGGAAATGAGAGGACTGTCTAATAGCGTACATGGTATTTGGTAATTTTTAGTGAAATTTATTGCAATTATATTAGGAATTGAATCGGAAGAATAAGATACGTAAATATGGCAATGAAAAACTAATATAGATACATACTCCATCCAAGTATCGAAATGCACTTGGAGTATGTATTATACTATTTTATCTGAGATTAATCGGTGGACCTTTTTATATAAACTAAATATATCTAAGATACCAAGACATACAAAGAGATCAGCAGTGTGGGTATATACAGTAAGTTGGGGCCGAGTTGACCTGCTCCGGGGGGGGGGGGGCGCTAGCCTACTGTTTTGTACGTAACAGGGGACGATGAGGCATGATAATAAATAAGGCCTAAGTAGACAGTGCAATTATATGTAATAGAAAGTACACTTTCGAAAGAAATAAATTAAAATAAGAAAAAAAAATAACTAAGAATAATTCAGTTGCAGACGTACCTTGTTTAAGTATTATACTACACTAATAATGCTGCTCCTGGACAAACCATTCATGTGCAAATGGTGTTTGTTATCCATAAACCAGCAACAGGTGACGTATTCTAGCTTATGACGTACGCATCCTAACTAGAGCGCATGAGTGTGACGTCACCAAAAAATAAAAATGTTCTATTATAACCAAAATATTAATAACTACAAGGTTTGTGGGCGTAAATTCCCTTAATACGAATTAAGGGTAGCACCATCTCCTTGCCATACAAAATACAGCTCCCACTGACGTCTCAGGCGAGAAATACGGGTAGCTGAAATGTTTCTCGCAAATCTGACTACAAAACATATCGAAATTTCACGTTCCACTTCTGACTCGACTCTGAGCATAGAGATATAATAAGAATAATAGCTCTATGACTCTGAGATGTGCTTCGCACAACCGTTAATGTGCGGTGTTCCGGGAACCCTGCGTCCAGAAATACGGAATACGGAAGTATTTTGTTAGTACCGCGCGCACACACAATCCAACTTTTTCTGTTGAAGAGGTTTCTGTCATGATAATGTGTACATTAATATACTAGGAGACATTACGAAATATCACAACTCAAACGGTGTCAAAATCTTCACAAATTCATTTAATCACATACGTTTAACAATGGGCCCAACATAATTATTCGCCAAATGAAATCACAAGCACAATCGCATTTATAGTCATATGTGCATTACAACTTCCAATTCCATACAACATAACATACAACTATCATAAATCTTTGAGCACAACCCACTGAGATATAATAAGCATACTTATGTTAATAGCGGCACAACCTCATTTAGTGTCAACTCTATAACACAACCTTAAATTTAAACATTACATCACATTGGAAACCATAAGTACAATGATCATTTCCATAGTCATATTTATCAGCATGAATGTCACATCCCTTGCGGGTAACCATGAGTACCAACGTAGGTCTTCCATTTTCCAGTTTAGTTTTGACAGACTAAACAAATTTTCATTTTTTTTATTCATACATTATGTAGATATATCCTTTGCGAACATTTTAAAGAAAAAATTATGTTGATACGAGCCTCCGTTAAGGATTTATGATTTTTTTTAAGTAACATGACCTCCTAAAATATGTTCGAAACGCTATGTTATTTCTATTGGTTACGCTTCGCTGCTCAGCACTGTTTTTCATCGATCGAAGTTGTCTACCGCAGCGTGAAAAAGGCTCGAGAGCTACGAGATCTATAAGCAAACAAAACCAACCCACGAATAAAACCAAAAATAATATTTAAAAAAAAGAAGATATTCTTTGGTTTCATCACCACATAGGATGCATTCGGCTTGGTGGTTAACACATTTGTAAGGCCAGGTTCCGGTGGTGGAAATATCAATTATTTTGGTATGTATTGTAAAACTGATTCTAAAACACAAGTGTTAATAAGAGAAGATTTTTGAATATTTTATAAACTGGGGAAAGGGGGCATAATCACGCATTACCCCCAGTTATGATATATAAAATTGAAAACATTGCAATTCCTTGGCCTGTAAGAATGGGTCGAATACATCGGATGTTTCGATCGTGGTAGAATAATGCTAATGGTAATTATATATATATAAAAAAAAACTTATAAGATGAATCACAGGTGTTAAGTCTGATACCAGACCAGCACATGAAACAAATCTTGTTAAAACAATCCTTACATAATGTGTGAGATTTGGAAGGTGATGTCTAAGACCCCTACAACGTACCCTCACCTAACCACGTTCCTGTATTTTCGCATTGGCAAACCTTCCTAAATATGACAGTGTACAGAAAATTCCCCCGTTTAGCACATGGTCCACTCTTTTTCCCAACAAAATACTATCGATGTACATCACAAAAACTAAAATCCTACCCGATATCAGGTAGTGACTGTGACTGTCTTGCTTGCCACCCACAACAACCCCCCCCCCCCCCCCATCCACGTCCAGTTGACGTTAGATTTATCATTTCCACGCTTAAGTTGAGCCGATCTATTAGTTGACATACCGGTATTTAGGGAACAAGTTGAATCATATAAAGCAGTAGTTTCAGAACAATTAAATTGTTCTACTGCGTATCAGTCCCCGACGCAATCGGAAAGGCTCATCGATTCAACTGACCAATCAGCATCACCGAAAGCTGTCAGCGATAGTGTGTAGCGATTGTGTGGAAACCAGACCAGAGTAGTCCAGAAGATGTGCCAATTGGAAATTTAAGAGCGATTAAAGCCACGATAAAAAAAAAATAGATATTTTTATTTGCACGTTGAAAGGCCGAAACCAACAAAAATAGCAACGGCCATTTTTTCGGATTTTTGCAATAATATGCGCAATTTTATTAGGCCACGTTCACACTTGGAGATAAGCCGGGCGTACTTTAAGCCCCGCTCAACATTAAGCCCGACTTAACTTTGCCGGCCGTTCAGACTAGCAGGATTAGCCAGGCGCGAGAATTTCCATATTCATGAACATTAATCAGGAAACGAGTTTCGAAACATTGTGTGCGAAACGTACGCTCGCTCAAAGTACATGTAATTGAATTTTGATTGGTCTTTGGCTATGTTCAAACACAACGACTTACGCTAGAGTAACGTTAATCGAGTGGTTGTGAACTTGGGCGCGGCGTAAAGCGCGGATGCCAGTAATATCGCCCAATCACTGGCGTACGGTATCCAGCAACAGACCCCCAGATTAGCGTACGCCACTGATTTACAACAGTCACGCATCGGTTCTTACATAGAATATAGAGTAATTTAATTTTACAACTCAGCATGCAAGATAGCCTGAAGACATCTTTACAACAACAAAAAAGCATAATAATGTGGATGGGTGGGGGTAGAGGAGTGGGTGGAAAAATGGACAATACCATTTATTTAAAATAGGGGTGTTTTTTGAAAATTCCAATACCTGTAAGGCCCAAAGGAGGGAAATAACATTTATGGTAACGCTTCTTATTCTTGCAAACATATGTTGATTGGACCTAATGAAAATGAAAAAGAAACAGTACACTTTTGGCAATGCCAAACTTTTAAAGCTGTGTTGTCAGAAAATTTAGTAGTTCTACTATTTTGGCATAATGGTTATCATTGTTTAGCCTATATTTTGAGGTAGGTTCGTAAAAGTTGCACAGGGTTCAAATTTCATCAAATTAAATAGGCCTAATCAAAAAATTTCATAATATTTAAATTTACAAAAACAAATATTATTTTGAGATTTTAGCAAATTAAAAGCAATTTTTAACTGAAACCTTAAAAAGAAGGTAAGGATAATCCAAAAAAAAAAAAGAGCTCCGCATAGTACACTATAGGAAAATTATTATGCGAAGGTTAAATTTAATGCTTGAAAAAATTTCCTGAGGGCCTGCAAAGCCCGAAGGAAATTTTGGAATGCATTAAATTTAACCGAAGTATAATAATTTTCCATTTAGTGTAGGATGCATGCTCTACTAATTGCTTTATAAGTCAATTGCCGTCTTTTAATTTTAGTTTTTTTTTTTTTTAGTTTATAAACCAACTGTTGTACCAATCATCGGTTGCTATAGTAATATGATCAGTATACGTGTGCGTATTTAGCTGTGCGTATGCTGATTTTTGCTCCTGCAGTACGTGCCTAGTATCTTTGGTCAAAGAGTATTTATTTATACTCTTTGCTTTGGTTAACTACACATCAGCAGGCTACAGTACGGATACGATGAATAATTTGTTAGAAAGAACTTGTTTGTAATGCTATTTTGATAGACTTTCGTCACTGGCGTCCTTTTTTGTTGGTGCATGCAGACGGGTAAAATCGTGCGATGATTTCATAACTAGGCTACGGCCAAAAGATACTAGTACAATTCAATTCTTATTGCGGTGCGCGACGTATTCGCGGTGGTGACGAAAAAATGAGGAATTTTTTTTGCACACGAATCTAAAAAAAATCAAGCCAACAACCGAGCGTCCGAGAGAAATTATTATTGGCGCTGGGGAAGTTACAGTGATGACGTCACTATTGACTTACAATCCGTTATATTTCTGGCCTTTGTGTTGGATACCTTACAGTCGAGAATAGGGTCAATCAGCTTAAGCTTGCTCTCCATTCCTTATAATAATGTGCTCAAATTTTCAAAAGGTGTCAAATGTACATAACCACTATAGGCATACCAGGAGTGCTATATTTAATTTTATTTATTAGGCCTAGTTAATTAAGTTAAAGCCCCATTCCCGGCAAAATTTCACTAAAAATTGACTTTTTTTAGAAAATATGCATTTGCATTACTTCAATTATTATAAATCATGGAAAAATATTAGCATGAATTTTAGTTTTACGCAAAAGAATTAAAAAAAAAGAGAAATACAGACTATTTCTCATAAAATATTACCATTTTCTCGACGAATTCATCGTTACTAGGCAAATTCAGAGGTTGTAGATCGCATCCACTGGAATACTCTCGCTTTTATGTATACTTTATACAGTCAATAAAGTGCGCCCTCTCTAATGAGATTAATTTTTGTACTTCGCATCTCGCACAATGCGGTCGCTCGGTTAGGCTGAGATATGTTTGTTTAAGTGTCAAAATCTCAGTCAGAATCAGTTTTTTAACAAATTTGAAATAATTCTTGTGAAATATTATATTCACAAGTGTCAATACTAGCAACGGAAAATATCATGTCGGCCGTTTTTATGTGTGATAACAGAGCCTAAATCGAGGTAAGGCTAGGCCTAGCCTAGCAGCGTTGGATAGGCTAATGTTTTCGGCGCCTACGATATTTCTTCTCACGACCTATCGCAGAATCAACATGAAAAATTCATCCGCATTTATTTTTTGTGTGGAACACAAAAAAATCAAATTTCAGTCTTATTTTACATTTTTTTCATTCTTAGGAATGTCTAAATTCAGTTAAACTAGCAATTCCGTATTATATTTATAAATCTTTATAACATTATACAAAAATTTGATTTTTCTTAAAAACTGAAATTTTGCCGGGAATGGGGCTTTAAATTACATTTATTTTGTTGCTTTGACCATTTAGGAATTAGTTTTAGATTAGTTCTAAACGAATTCTTCCATGCTTTGACGGAACTAGTCCACCAGAAATACGGATTTGAAGCACCAAAGTTGGACATAATTGCAACAAAACGTTTTTTTATGAATATATATAGTTAAATTTTATATCTACAACATACAAAAAGTTTACCAAAATATACCCACGGGAAAGGTGATTTTTATAGCAAAGAAAACTGAACTATTTCACTGGGCTTATACGCCGTGCCTAGGATGTGTGTGCTGTGCCTTGCTTACGAAGCGCTTTAATTTGATTTGCCGCTGAAGCTTTTGATTGGTTAACATACCTTCAACAGTCTGCGCGTACTCATTTACGCAACACACGTACGTACGTACGCAAGTTCGTACGTACGTCACGTCCCAGAATGTAAACACGGAAATTGTTAGATATTAT